TATTTGGTTGACAAAATGTTTCTGAAGTGCCCATTTAATTTATATTGACTTTAATTATTATTTGGGCAGAATAGTCTAAAGCCATATTAGAAAATATTATATATTATTCGCTAAAGATTTTAATTGTTATTTTGAGGATATTAGCCTAAAGCTATATTAGAAAATGTTATTGGTTATTGCTCCAATTAACGTTCAAGTATGTTAGCCTATAGCTATATCAGAAAATGAAATGACTATTATTTTTAATTATTATTTGGGTATGCTAGCCTAAGGGCTATATTAGAAAAGGTAATTGATGTTTAACTTTAATTTTTATTTGGCACAATACCCTCATTAATTTGATTGACAATATGTTTCTGGAGTGCTAATTTAATTTATATTCGACTTAAATTATTATCTGGCATAATACCCTAGTTTATTTGATTGACATGATATTTTGAGAGTATCCATTTAAATTTATATTTGATTTTTATTATCATTTGAGCATGTTAGCCTAACACTATATTTAAAAAAAAAAAAATTATTGGTTATTGTTCCAATTAATATTTGAGTGTGTTAGCCAGTGGCTATATCAAAAAATGGAGTGAGCTATTATTTTTAATCATTATTTTGATATATTAGCCTAAGATCATTATTTTGATATATTAGCCTAAGTGCTGTATTAGAAAAAGTAATTGGTGTTTGACTTGAATTTTTATTTGGGCATATTAGGCGGCATATTAAAAAAAATATAATTAGATGAATATAGTCATATCAGAAAATGCAGTGGGTTGACATATGGCATAATTTGGAATAATAATGGTGTTGGGGTGTGTGTGTGTGTGTGTGAGTGTGTGTATGGGTATAAATATTGAATTGATTTAATTAAATAATTCACATGTTAATTTGTTAAATAAATGATTAGCATTAATATTATAAATTAATATAATAAATTATATACTAATAAAATTTAATCATGAATTTTATATGTGAAGTCAAAGTGAAGTCAAAGTGACTTATGTTTGCCTTACGTTAAATAATTATGCTAGTAAAATTAAATGCATTCAATGAATTAATTATATTATTTGTTTAATTAAAATAAGCTAATGAACCTTAATATGTATGAATTTGACATCAGCAAGGTTGGCTCCCTAGGGAGGATGAACCTATGCTAGTCCCATAAGTGAATTTTGTTGTTCTTTTATATGTTATGAATTGTTCTATTTTATTATATGATGTCTAATTAAATGAATACACACGCAATAAATGAAATTGAAATAATTTGAGTTTGCAAATGAGTTATGATACCTAATTGGGGATTTGTGCCTAAATAATATTTGAACATGCAATTGAATGAATTAATGTGCAATTTGATGTTAAAATTGATGTTAATATGAGATTAATAATTGGTGATCAAACCTAGCGGAAGGACAGTTACCCTAGTTATAGGACCGGCACCTAGGGAAGGAAGCATGTACCCTAGTATAGGACCGGCCAAACTATATCCTAGGGGATACCTCTTTTATTTGACTTTTATTTTTTCTTATGCATAAATTAAACTTAAGGTTCAATGTTATACTTGTTTATGAAGTTAGTTGTGTAATGACATGACTTTAAAGGACTTAACTAATAACATGTTGACTTATTTGACTTATGTACTACTATGATATGTGACTATGTTTGACTTTGACTTAATAATACCAACTTGGTATTATACTTTGGAAAGCTTTTGCTATGCACTAGGTACGCTTACTTACTTGATTCCTTAAGTAATGCTGGATTATGTTAAGTGTTGATTGATGTGGTTTGACTTAAGGTGCTTGAGTTGACCATTCTAAGTATATGAGATTGGTAGTTGAATTTATGCATGAGCAATTATAATTGAGATTTATATGAGGCCTGTGGGCTTCTATAAATCATGAGCAGGTTGCAATCAGGTATGCGTATTTATTACGAATGTTGAGTAATACTTAGATTCTAAGGATTGTTATTTAGAAATGGAATTGAACTGAATTGACTTAATGATAACTAATGGGCTCTTTCTTTGAACTTGATTGAAGAATTGCTAGAATATAGTTATCTGATTCTGAAAATAAAGCATGCTATGAAAGTGGATTTGGATTGCGCTATGATCATATGTCAGACATGTGGATGTCTTCAGGACGAGCGGATGCACTCTACTGACTATGTATCTGAAAGACTTTTAAGTCTACTGTTAAAAGGCTAATCAACAAGTATTAGTTTGACTGTTATCAGACACCGTTTTGTTATAAGTTCTGCTTCTGTTTCTTCCGAGTCACTGTTAAGGCCCAATTATCTGGATTAATGATTAAGAGTATGATAAGTCAATTATAAATTACTGATTAATTGTGGTACAAGTTACCTACAGATTGATGATATATGATTACTTGTGATACAAGTTATTGTATGTTTAAAGTATTGTAAACTGAGCTATAATTTATTGTATTATATTTTCATTTGAAACTAGTTCCGTATTAATAAGTAAGCATGTACGTGCCTTTGGCATAGAATGTGATATCTCTTGTCTGGCCCTGCAGGATCGGAGAAGGGGTGTCACATAAATGAGCTTCAAAATTAATAAAATTTTACAGAGAGCTAGGTTGGGATATTGGCAAGGTTGTGGTAAAAGAAAAAGCCCAGAAGATGAAAGGAAAAGAATTTATAGCTAAGTGAATACAGACTGCTCATTTCATCACTGTGTTTAGGCTATTTGACAATGTAAATGAACTTTAAAATTTATAAAATTTTACAAAGATATAGCAGAAGGTTTTGTTAAAATGGAAAGTCCAAATGATGAGGGAAAATAGAGACATTGATAAAAAGAAAGCAGACTACTCAGTATGAGAAAACTGAAAGTTTTGGTTCTGTAATTAATTTATTTGAATAGGTTAATGAACTCCAAAATTCATGAAATTTAATATGAGAGTGCCCTAAGATGATGAAAATATTGTGTAAAAATTTCAAAGCAAAAGAATTTTGTGAAAATAAAGATATAATCAAAAGAAGAAAATAAAGATATAATTCAAAAGAATGCAGTAGCTCACATTGCTCTAAAATTTCTTGGATTTCCTTAACTAAATACTAAGGTTGACCAAAACTTCAATATAAATGATTAACATGAATAAGTATAAAATGGATGAACATTAAGTCAATATGTGTTAATTTCTAACCGTATAAAAATGGATGAACATTAAGCTCAATATGTGTAATTTCTAACCGTAATATTTCAGATTCAAATTTAATGAATAATATTGAAGAACCTTGAATATCCATAAAGCTAGAAACAAAACTAAAAGTGCAATATGTGTTTAAATGTGAATATAGGTAGAGAATTACCATGAAACCGCTTCAAAATTATAAGTGATCGAGAGGAATCAAATTTCAGTGCTCAAGATGAGTTATAGTGTCAAATGCATACCACTATTGATACTTGAAACTATTTGTTAATTGTGATATTGAGATTGTGAATTGTGAAACCTATTTGGCCTCTAGGCCTATTTGATTGTACCAAAGCCATTTGTTTAGTCAATATTATACAATCCCAACTTGGTGGGGGCTATACCATCAGGCTATGTGCATATAGAGATTTATGATTAAAGGGAAAAGTTATTTTTCTAAAGTGAGTAAATGTGTGATAGCACTGGAATATACAAAGTGACATGTTTTCTTCAGTACTATCTATGTGATTATCTGTCATATTTTTGAAATTGTCTTTTTGATACTGATCCGATTACTATGAATACTTTTATATGGACTTATTTCTGTTGATAAGCTATAATTGTACTACCATCCTGTGTTACTATAAATGTTGAACCTTAAGATACTTTTCATTGTACATGCTACCGATATGACACTATAATTTCATTGAGTTGATGACTCACTATCCTGTGTTACTATAAATGTTGAACCTTAAGATACTTTCATTGTACATGCTACCGATATGACACTATAATTTCATTGAGTTGATGACTCACTAAAGCGTCCGTGGTTTCAGGTAGAGGTAATCCAGGTCCATCAGCTTCTTGATTTCCTTCTTCCAATAAGAAGCCTGTGAATAATGTAAATAATTGTTATATATTATAAGTTGTTGATAATATATATGAACTCTAGTTGCTCCGTAATCTTTGTGAATAATATTAGTATTGTATGTATGTAAGCTATAATTTGAACAATATTTTGAGAGTGTAATATATGATTATATAAAGAGTGTGAAAAATTGAATTCAATGATTTTGAGAATTAAGTGAAAGTAAATAAATTAATTGTAGCCCACCTAAGTAATTAATCAAGATAAGTAATGCAATTGTATTGGTTTAGTTGTGGGTTTTACGAGGTGTCCGACGGCCTTAAGCCTACTTGGATAGTAGGACCGTCGCACCATCAATTTTGGGGTGTGACAGTTATTATATTTAATCATTAATTATTAAAAATAAATTAAAAAAAGATAAAACTTAAAATTTTAAAATGCTTAATTATTTATATATTTTTATTTAAAAAATAATTTTAACAAATCAAATTCAATAAATTAATAAAATATATTTTTTAATTGGTCATTATAAAATTATTTTAAAATTTTCAGATTTCCTCAAGGGTACTATCCAAAATCTCATTATTCTTCCAATTCCTCTATTTATATATAGTATAGATAATTTTTATAATATTCGCTCCGTTCCATTTTAATAGTTATAAATATACATTTTACATTGTTTTACTTTAAGTGCTTATTTAGATTTTTGAGATTATATTAATTATATTTTTTTTAACTTTATCCATATTTATTATATATAATTTATATTTATATTTAAAAATAACAATTTAAACATTGTATTATATTTCTTAGAAAATTAATAAATTGTATCATTTTCTTAATCATAATCATCGGAGGGAGTACATTATACGTAAAAAAGATGTACAACGAGCTAGTGATTATGAAAGTAAAGGCTAAATTTTAGCCGTGAGTATTTATCCGACAGCATAAAGGCGGCTAAGCAACCTAGTGACACCTAAATCAATTTTATTGTAAACCCTTATATCTGTTTTTTCTCTCTCTTTATTTTGGCGTGGCCTCAGTCTCTCTCGTCAAACAACGCTTCCTCTTTTTCTCTTCAAAACCTAATCAAATTTCTTCCCAATACTTGCCAATTTCGACCAAGGATACCCATGAGATTTTCGGTCCAAATTTGAGAAAGCGCACGGCATCAACTCCTTCTCTCTATATCGGGTTCTGCTCTCTTAAACTCGTCCGATTCCTGTCGCTCTCCCGGTGAATTTCTCTCTTCGTTTTGTCTACCTTTTGTTTTTTTCTATGTTTGTTTTTGCTGATTTGATTTTAAATTACCTTAAATTATGAATTGATTCAATATTTTCTCACTAATTTGCGATTTTAAAGTTTTGGTTAAACCGATATATGTTCGTTTTCTAAAGAATTTTCTACTGGTTTAATTTCTTCTTTTATTGTATAAAATCTCTGCAATTTCTTTTAACTGGTTCAGTAGCAAAACTGATATTAGTTAAACTCTCTTTGAACCTTAATTTATTCCCTGCGTGTGCTCTTCTATCTTATAATGAAATTCTGGGTTCTTTGTAAAATGAGCTATATTTTGCGCGGTTCCCGAAAGCATCTCTTTGGGCTCTTTTTTTAGTTAATTTTCATAAATTAGTTCTCAAAACTGAAGTGTCGCACCATTATCGTGTAATTATTTTTTTCTTCAGTTTTCTGCTGAAATCTCGAAAATACTGTTTCTGGTTCACAAAGTTAAATTTCTGCTCATGGTTGCGATGATAATTGAAAGCTCCTCTTGCTGATATATCTGTATTTAGCTGATTCTGTTTTGATTATAATTTACAATGTAACCCGTGTTTGCATAAATAATTATCTCAAAGGGAGATGTATCTTTTCCTAGTTCCAACTTAGTTTTGGTTTAATTTTAATGGTAGTTTCCTTTAAAATAAGTAGTATGGTCGTTATTTTCAGTTGTAATTATTCTCTATCTCCATTATTTTTTGCTAGCTGATTTTCTGTGAAATGAGACAAATCTACAAAATTGTGATATGTGGTTCATTGCAGAATTTGATGAGACAATATATACAGTTGATGGGATTTTATTGGTACATTTGATTATAATGAATTGTCCATTATCTCATTATTTCCTAGATGGATAATGCATTCTTACTTTTTTGTACATTGGTGAATTTACTTCTCCTTAGTTTTTTTTTTTTTTTTTTTTTTTTTTTTTTTTTTTTTTCTAGCTGATTTTCTGTTGGGTGGAAATGAGGGAACAAAATCTTAACAAAAATTTGTGATATGTGGTTCTTGCTATTTGCTGAGGACAATATATACCAGTTGGATGGGATTTTTATTGGTACATTTGATTTATAATGAATTGTCCATTATCTTCATTATTTTCCCTAGATGGATATGCATTCTTACTTTTGTTACATTGTGAATTTTACTTCTCCTTAGGTTTTTTTTTTTTTTTTTTTTTTTTTTTTTTTTAATTAATTTGTATATTGGAGAATTTTATACGTTCTTTACATGTTGCATAGTTGAATTCTTTAACTTGGTATGTGGTTTGATTTTTATCGTATAGGCTGTCTTGGTTCTATTCTTTTCTTTCTTTTTTTTTTTTTTTTTTTTTTTTTTTTTTTTTTTTTTTTTTTTTTGATTCACGATTCAATTTTTTTTTTTTTTTTTTTTTTTTTTTTTTTTTTTTTTTTTTTTTTTTGATTCACGATTCAATTCATAGGATTTTGTTTTCTTTTTAATTGAAAAGCTATATAAGGAAGAGAAGCCTAATTGAATTGAAAGGAGGTTGAATGAATTTAATGCTTGATTATTTTTAGTTCACTGAATTTGGTTGCTTTATGGAGAGAGATGTAGCAGTAAAATTGAGAAATCCTTGTTAAGTTGATATAAAGAAAACTTATCTTCCATCAGGGATCCAGAGAACTTCCATATGGTCCGCATTTGTTCTCTTTTCATTAATCATTATCAGTTTCCCCATTACAATTAACAGATTGTAAGATTTCTGACCATTTTGAGAGTCAAGAACTGGGAATCAGATAATGTCGAGATCCTTGAAAAATACTAGCTTAAGAGCCTAGTTATGATTATGTGCTGTTTAATGGTTGACAATTTCTTTTTCCCGATTTACCCGTTTAATGCCAGAATTTTTCCCGAAAAAAGATATATGCAGCCATCTAACCTGGTTTGTTTCTTAGGTCTCCTTTATACACAATAGTGTCATAGAGCGATTTAAATGATCGGGAGTATGAACATTGAGTTCAGGAACTTCTGAATATTCGTATGTTCTGAAATTTTTACGTTTGTCCTCTTTTGTAAAAAATATTTGGTAGTTAGTCTATATGTTTGAAAAACTAATGAAATTATTTTGTGGAATACAGAGTTGTGAAAGATGGCATTGAAGTTTCTGAACAAGAAGGGATGGCACACGGGGAGCCTGAGGAACATAGAGAATGTGTGGAAGGCGGAGCAGAAGCATGATGCAGAGCAGAAGAAATTGGAAGAGCTCCGCAAACAGATTCAGGATGAACGCGAGCGCTCAGAGTTTCGCCTTCTTCAGGAACAAGCTGGCCTCGTTCCGTATGTTCCCTTGCAATTCTGTACTATTCTAATGAATTAATTAATTACTGAAAGCCTGGGATATATATATATATTTTTTAATTTCTTTTAATTTGGCACTCGCACAGGAGGCAGGAGAGGTTGGAATTTCTTTATGATTCTGGACTAGCCGTGGGAAAGGGCAGCAGTAGTTCTGGTGCAGGGTCGGGAGTAGCATTCAAGGCGCTCGAGGAAACCATTCCCAATAACAACAACAAGACTGCCGATCCATCATCTTCTGCTTCCACTGGCAAGCAATCGTCTGCCCCTGGAGCCTTATTTGAGGACAAACCTCACTCTGCCAATGATGCTTGGAGGAAACTTCATTCTGATCCTCTGCTTTTGATTCGCCAGAGGGAGCAAGAAGCCCTTGCCCGCATCAAGAACAACCCTGTCCAAATGGCCCTCATTCGCAAATCGGTAGACTTTTCTTTTTCTTTTATTATGGTTGCTTTTTAGCTTACTAGAGAGACATTTTACATGCTTGATTTACTCTCAAAACACATTCCAAACGTTGGGAGCATCTTTTCCATTGTTGAACTCTCACTCCCATAACATCAAGGCCTTCAGCTTGCTTCTAATTATGTCTACCCTTTACTTATTCATTAACTTTACTCTAGTTTTTCTGTTTCCCCATTTGTATTTAATCCAATTACATTAGGAAGCTTTGAATAATTGTTCCTGCCTTATTAAGTTTTGTAATTCAGAATTTTCTGTTAGGTGTATTAGGCTCTGAAATTGCAGAACTTTATTGAAACATAAAAGTGGTAGCGAGTTCATCAATCTATTGGACACCTGTTCCACTGAACATCCTAAGCTCAAACCTCAAGAAGAATGATACTATTAACTATCCAATTTTTTTTTTTTTTTTTTTTTCTCAAACCTCAAGAAGAATGGATTACTATTAACTAATCCAATTTTTTTTTTTTTTTTTTTTTGGTTATTCATGATTTTAATTAATTATTTTTTTTTTTTTTTTTTTTGGTTATTCATGATTTAATAATTTGTTTGAATTGGGAGATGATCAAAATTTGATAAGAAATTAGCAGATATTGATGACAAGAATTTTGTGCAAATAATGCGATGAGAAAAATGAATTGTAATCTGTATTGATGATTAATTTTTTGTTTATAACTGATATATGCATTTATATATTTTATTTATTTATTTATTTATTTATAGGTCAAAGCAAATAAAGAGGAAAAGGCTCAGGAAAAAACAGAACGCCGGAAGAAGCACAGTCATGGTAGTGCAAAGCATCACAAGCATTCATCATCCAAAGCAGAATCTGATTCAGAAGATTCTTATGTCAAAAGGGAAAAGAAGCGACAAACTGGCGATCACAGAGGTTCTAAACACGAGGAGCATTATTATAAGGCAGAAGTGATTTCCAACGACAACTCAAGTGGAAGAGAAAGTCGCAGAAGAAGGGACTCAAAATACAGAGAGCGGTCTCCCAGTGGTTTCTCAGATTCAAAAGCTGTAAAAAATGATGGTAACCATGCTGTGAAGAAGTATTCTGACAAGTTGACGGGTGAGAAAAATTCTCTGAGAGACTGGACAAATACTGATGTTGATAGAAAAGAAATGGAACAGAGAAGTTTCATCAATAGAAAGGAAAGGGAACCCAGAAGCTATAGAGAGGCTAGATCTTATGATTCTTCTATGGCGGTTAGCCATGATTCACGCCATAAGTGCTACAATGTTGCTCCTAAACTTTCAGAAGAAGAACGAGCAGCTAAACTACAGGAGATGCAAGAAAATGCTGAGCTGCACGAGGAGCAAAGGTGGAAGCGTTTGAAGAAGGCTGAGGAGGAGGATGCACGTGAAGCTAACCGTGCTAGCATTTCTGGTGGCAGAAACTTTCTGGATGCAACTCAGAGAAGCGTATATGGTACTGAAAAGGGTGGAAGCTTAACCATAGAAGAGAGCGTTCGTCGCCGAACGCATTATTCACAGGGAAGGTTTGAAGTGGGTAGTGGCAATGCTTTTCGGCGGTGATGCTCTTTCATCTTGTTTATTTTTGTTGTAAAATTTCCAGTTCTTTCCTCACTTTTTTCTTTGCGCATGTGCCTATATCATAATAGTGTCTTGCCATCTTGTATAAGCAATTAAATTCCAAGTTAAACTAATTGATGCATACAATTCTTTTCAATTCTTAATGAGTTGACAAGTTTGAGCAGGAGTAGCTTGTGTATTGTATATGTTTATTTACACTATGCTGTCTGACTTGGCTTAATATTTAGTCAAGGTGGAACTCGTTAAGACATTTTGGGGATAAAATTATCAAATGACATTAAATGGTTATCCCTTTCCAGCTTTCCCAACAGGGTTCGTTCCGTTTAGAAGGATGACAGTTAGGGCTATAAATGAGTGAGCTTCGAGTTGTTCTAAGTTTAGTTCATGATGTTCTAATGCGAGCTCGAGCCTATCCGAGATAGATTTTCAATCAGCTTGATAGATTTTACATTGAAGCTCAGATTATGAAAATTCAGCTCAATTGGAGCTTGATAATTTCTAATCAACAATTTTACTCCAGTATTTATAATTACTGAATAATAATAATAATAATAATAATAATAATAATAGTTAAAGTTTAAAAGGACATAAATGTATGCCAAACAATATGAAATTACAACAATGCATATTAAATTAGCCTTCCAAAATAACTTACGCCTCTTAAAATCAAAAAGAACAAAGTTGCATTTTTCCCCTTGTAAAAGGGAAGAGATAAAAAAAAAAAAAAATCAACACTGCTATTAACAAACTAAATATTTTTTTAACCCTATTAACAAACTAACAAAATTACAAAACTATAGTCACATGTAAAGAAATTGAAATTTAGGCGTTGACAAAATTACAACAAACAAACATTTGAATTTATAATAAAAAGCTATTTTTTATTAGAGAGATTTTTTAAAATTACACCAAATTAGAGCTATAACAATATTAATATAATAACATGTTCTTATTCATAGAAAATTGAAAATCATATTTGAGATTGCTTTTCGATCTATCATATCCAGTAGCCATTAAACAAGTATGTAATGCCTTAATATTTCTGTATTGTGAATAGTGATTTACTTGCCAGTAGTACCATCCGAAAGGGAATTGGTGTTTTTCTAATCCGGAAAAATTATTATTCATAACTAATATTTTTGATAATTATTTTGGAGCATGCATATATTATTTTAGTGTGTAGATAATAAATTATGAGTTTATTTGGAGAAATTAGGTAATTAATGAATAATAAATTGGGATATTTTTAGAAATTAGAGAATTGGAGAATCAAGACTACTGAATAATTTTAAAAAGTAATGAGGAGAAAAATACAAATTATGGAAGTTGTTGTAGGGTGTAATTTTAATACTTGGATTTTAATTTGGAGATTAAATCTCAACCCCTCTTGCACAACTTCCTAAGGAAGTAGTTAGTTACCTAAGTACAAAAATGCCACTGAAAAGTTTTATATAACAATTCTCTTTCTTTCTTTACTTTCTTTGTCCTACAGTTTTCTACAGTTTTCTCTCCTTTTATTGGTGCATGGCCGAACCTTCCTTCTTTAACTCAATCATTTTCTTTTCAAATTTTCTACACTTATCACTCAAATTAACTACAAGCAATCAAATCCAAGCCTTTGTCTTTGAAGATTTAAGCTATATCTTGGTGTAGTGACTCGTCGAATTCAAGATGTTGGAGTTGTAGTCTATAAATTCAAGTAAGAATGTGATTTTGGATTTCATTTTAAGAATCCATGCTTTCTTTAATTTATGAGTGATGATTTGGAGCATTTTCATGTTAGAGTTGGGAGAACCATCAAGAGTTGATATGGATAAAGGGAAGCTAGAGCTTTGTTGATTGATTTTTAGCTTTCTATAGCTTAATTAAAAGGTTAGTGCACTATAATCTCTCATCCTTTCTTTTTTTTTTTCTTTTCATTTTTGTCAATTTTCAATTTTAGAGTATTATGATAAAAAATTGGGGACTTTATGCTTAATGCTTGAAATTGTGTGTATTATTGGGTTTAATGTGCTTGTGGCTAGGATTAGAAGCTGTTTTTCAACCCTTTCCATTTTCCATCTGTATCTAATCTCTTCATGAAAGTTGTAGGCCTACTTCTTAGCTTTCTAATCCATCCTCTTATGTCCAATTTGGATACTTATAGCTCAACTTATAATTTAAATACCAAAATTGATTCTGTCATGCCAGCGCACTTGTATATCCGAATTGATTGCCCATTTTGGCTACTAAAACAGCAAGATTATGTCTTGTATCCTTCATAAAAGCTATTGCCAGGTTTCTTAAGACTTCAATGAATTTGGATTTTTTTTTTTAATTTGAGTGCTTGAATTAGTAGAAATTAAATAAACATTGAATTTAGATGTGCTAAATCAAGTTTGAGCTGCTGGTCTGTGTTCTTGATTTTTTTTTTTTTACTGTCTCAGAGATTGATCTAGACTATAGTCCCTTCATACTATTCGTAGCAATTTATCTTATCTTTCTAATGAATTAAGTTGCACTCAGTTTGAAGACCTACAATTCAAGTTATGCGCTAAAAACACAACAAAAGTCAAGTTTACTAAAATTCTGGAAATTTCTTGATGTAGAACATTTATTCATAAAACTCTCAAAATTTTGTCTGATTTATAAACACACCTTAAATGAATTACATATAAAATTTATCAAGCAATACTAAATATAATGAGAGTATAAATATATATGTTTGTACTTATCACATAGGCCATGAAATTTACTTATTTAGCATAATAGTATGCTTATTTGTATTTAAGAGAAGTTATATTTTGAGTATTACCATGTCTTTCAAATGATGGTATGCTCTTATTTCATAATGATTTGTATGTGTGCCAAGTTGATTTGGATAACCTGCTAAGTGTTGAGAAATGATGAATTTCCTATGATTTCAGTCGTAGGGATTTTGGGAAATTGAATGGGAATATGCATGCTTTAAGTATAACTAATTTTCTTTAAGTATAATAAATTATTTGAATGAATTGAATGTGAATTATGAAACTTTTACGGTAAAAATCACATTTATGACTTGTAACTTCCTATAACTTGGAAATGTCAAATCTCTGAGTAATTACTTAAGTATATGCATACTTAGAGTTTAATTATGCTTCTAAGTATATAATTGATGTTTTTGGTGGAATTCCATGAGAAAAGTATGGCTTACATGATGAAAGCCTCTTTTTATACTATTCTTTTCTTAAGACATGAAATTTATGAACTTTGGCAATTTATATAAGACTTTGCATGTTTAGAGCATAACTATGCTTCTAAGGATATAATTAAGGCTTTAGTTGAGTTACATGTAAAAAGGAAGATTTATATGATACAAGTCACATAAATGATATGTACTTTTTCTATGATTTGAAATATGAGAAATTATATATGCTTTATGGTTTTACTTGAATTTGAGTTAATTATAAATTGAGGTTGTTTAAAGTGCTTGGAGATGAGTACTAAGACTTCACACTTGAAAGAGTTGAATTTATTTTAGATTATGATTTTTTAAACTTCTTGATTTTTGAGGAAAAGATGAATTCTCCATATAATGTGTTTTTCACAAAAATTGAGTTTTTGAATACAAGCCTTAATAGGTAACTTTGATTGGTGAATATAGTTGATAAATATATTTATGATTATGGGACTTCATGATGGAATATGGATATGCATATAAAATACGAATCTTCATACCTATGTAGGAAGTTATATGATTTTCAAGGCTCATTTGAGATTTGAGAGTTTCCATGAGTCCTTAAGCATGATTCTTGTATGTAATAAGTGTTAATAAAATCTAATTACCACTTATAAGTTCATGAGTGTTATGATATGCTTTATGAGATTTTCCAACCATATTGGCTATGCTTAAGTTACATGACCTATAAGTAGCTTTCGTAGGACTTGTAGCTTTTCCATGCCTTTATGTATATATGCTTAAGACTTATGACTTAATATGTATGAGTATATGTTATTATATATGAGATTTAGAATAACGTATGAATATGAGGATTATCATAATTGTTTGGATTTAAGGCATATAGAACTTTCTGAGTGTAAATGACTCGAAGGACATATTGAATTGAGATAAATCATGTATAAGTTATGTGTTATCTAAACAAGTAAAGTTTTATAAGTAATCATGTAACTTAAAGAAGGAAAGTAAGTTTTTGGACTCTTAATATACTTGGTGTCAATTAGAGACTTGATTAAGATTGTTTTGATTATAAGCATGCTCGGCATAATAATGCTACTGTGATTATCTGAATATAGCTATGATCATATGCTTGGCACGTGGGTGGCTTTTGTATGAGCAGACACACTATATCTGTTTCTAATCAGCTTTTATAGCCCTCTGATTCTATTTGGCTTTTGTAGCCCTCTAATTCTATTTGGCTTAATAGCGCTATGATTCTATTTGACTTTATAGCCCTTTGATTCTGCTGTATGATCTGCTTCTGATTCTACTAAGTATGTATGAGCCCCCATAAGTTAAAATGAAAGAAAATGATTGAATAAGATAATGCTATATAATAAATGCACTTATAAGTCTATGTGTTATGCTATTGTTATAAGTGTTTAGATTTTGGCTATTTATGTATTAAATACTTTTACAAGTTAATCTCTCATGCTTTTAGTTTATAAGTATGTATTCATGCTTTAAATGATGATATATGACTTGAGTGTGAGAATTTACGATTTAACATGTTAAATATGATTACATGTGAAATATATACTTATGCATGATTAGTACTTTAAATAATTGTATGATTATGAGTATGATTATATGTTATCATCGAAACATTAGATGCTTATGATTATTGAGCACCACTGAGTTTTATACTCGGAAGTGCTGTTTGGAGTCTAGATCCAGCTTCAGAGCCAAAGACTTCATTTGATAGATAAAGTTCGTTTGCTTCCGTTTATGTATTAGATATGGCGTGTAAACTCTAGAAATGGGAGATTGTATTTACTTTAAGAATTTATGTATTAACTTAAGCATTAACAAGAATATATATTATGGTTAGAATTCTTTATGATATCTAAATCATATTATGGATTTAGTTAAGTATGTTGTATAGTTATTATATAAGCCTTATGGATGATCATGAATTGATATTGGAATATCTTGATTAAAGTCGAATATTGGAGTTGGTGGATTGT